CGCGGGGGGCGCTGGGAGTTGTAGTGCGGCCTGCGGCGGCCGCCCCGCCCTCCGCCCGCACGACGGGGCGCGCGGAGCCGCCTCCCCCGGGAGGCCGCGCGGCCTGAGGCGCGCGCATGCGCGGGATGTGCAAGGCTGCTCGGGAAGGGTAGTTCTGGCGGGCGCGCCCCGGGCCTGGCGCAGGCCGCCATGCGTCGCGCCCGGCACCGTTCTCGCCCTTACACACAAACACGTAGACGGGGCCGCTTACCCAACGTCCTGAAATACGTTCACCTCATCTATGTGCGTCACCGGCGCGCTTAAACTAACGAAGACTCATAAAACGCTTCCGGCTACATTCCAAAGGCATATGGATTAATTCAAAAGTGATTTCAGAAGTYGCTGTGTTTCAGCAAGGCCTTTTGCAAATAAGTCACAACTATTCAAAAACATCCCTACTTGGGATCGCGTGCAAGTCTTGTGGAAAATTCCAAGGCACCAGCAGCCTTCTTGGGCAGTAAAGCTTCAACAGAGGCTGCTTTTTACAGTGCACACAGCGAAAGGGAGCCCATTTCTCCCTGAACCCGTGTGCTTGCCGATACGGATAATGCACAGTTCTCCACACGCCAAATGCCCCCCGCCATCTCACTGAACATAACATAAACAGCGTTGCCTTTCTGGTCAAAATACTTCTTCTATTAAAAAAAATAAATACTAAGAAAAAAGACATTCCACTGCAGCTGCTTTGAAAGATAAAATAGAGGCCTAATCCTCAAGCTAAACCCAAGAGCACTTCCATGGAGGTCTGTGGACACATCTTTTGCAGAAGATCATACAGGGGGGTGACCTGTGTCACTATATCCTCAGTGGGTGCTAGGACACCTAGGTGAGACATTTATCCCTCCTTGTTTTGATTAAAAATGTTCATACTTGCATCTCTGAATCAAGCAAGGGACAAGYGAGGGCTTTCTTATTCTCAATACAGATTTATGTCTTATTTTTTATAATTTCCCAGCACAAGTCAATTCTAGGAGTCCTAGTTCAAATATTCCATTATTTCATTCTATATTTTATGACCTTCGTCCTGCATATACCTGTGCATATACCTGTGTCCTGTTTAACAGCCTGATACAGCAGTAATTTCAGATTTTCAACTGTTCCAAATGAATTTTGTATATTGAATCTCCAGTGTATATATCACTTCAAAGAGATTATAACATAACACTTTAAATGAAGTAATGAAGTCATATTTATCAAGGATAGGACAAAAGATTTAAGATTCTTCCTGAGAGAAAAGGAGTGGGGGAAAAAAGCAAAACATTATTGTAGATAAAGTGTTATCCTTCAGCTGCTCCCTAGTAAGAACATGATGCTTCTTGGTGAACCATTATGTAACATCTATTTATGTTACTACTAGCTTGCAGGATCAGGTTCATAGCGTATACTTAAAAAACCTCAGCGGGTTATAAAACAAGATTGCATCTCTGTATGACACGTGTATCAGATTAGCCACAAAATGAAACAGCAATAAGTCCAGATGGGATCCTCTAGGGTATTTTGAACTTTTTTTTTTTTTTTTTTTTTTTTTTTTTTTATCCCTAACTGGATTGAAAATGAATGGAGTAATAAACTGCAAAGCATATGAGAGAAGAGTTAGGCAAGAAAAGGATTTACTAAAGCGTTCATTTCATGCAGGAAAGAAAAAAAAACCTCCATTAATGTCCCTGTTAAAATTACAGAAGAATAGCTACGAATGTCCARAATGAAAGCATATAGCAGAACACAAAACTTCAGTCTGTGATTAAATAGTGAAGCTACTCCATTTCTCTGAAGCTCATTAAGTCTAAAAATATATCATGGGGAAAATAAAAAGAAGACAAGCCAGCATTCAAAAACAACCCCAAATCTTTGACCTTCATTTCATCCATATGAAAGGACATCTCCAACATATAGTTGAAARAAATCAACATTTAACATGCAGTCATGTAAGATTCTTTAGGGGCAACCTTGCAGATGATTTAAACACTGATTCTCAGCTGGGCTTTTTGTGACCACCAGAGGGCAGGGCAGATACAGCAGAAGATTAAATCTTTCCTACGCAATCAGGACAGAGCATCCTAACAATCTGCTCATCTTTTCCTCAAAGAGTCATTCAGTACTTAGCACTCTCTCTGTAAACACACTAGATTCAAGGAGTTCTTTTATATCCACATAAGGACTCCAGTGCCATCTTCCTACTTTCCATCCTTTCCTACTTCCATCTTTCAACAACAGAGTTTGAAAGTTGAAATGGTGATCGTATCAACATATATTTTAATAAAATGATTTATTAAATCATATAGGAAATTAGCAGTGTTTATAGTACCAAAGCGCAGCGTAAAAGCTAACAACAGCCTGATATTGAAGTATAACACAAAATTATATAACTGATAATGCAAACTCCAAATATGCGTCACACACAGAGAAAACAAACCGGGTACGGTACAGAAACAAAAATATATCCTAGTAATATCCTTTACTCTTTCATTCCTGAAACTGTAGTAATGAGCATCTTTTTTAAACTTTCCCTTCCTTATCCTTTTTTTTTTCCCCCTGACCTTCTATATTATTGCCATTCCAAATGCTARAAGTACTTAAAAGAGCTGCCCTTTCTCCCCCTCCCCAAAAGTTYCATACCAGCTACGCTATTTCTAAGCAGAGGAGTCAAAAATTACAGAGCTAATTATTGCTATGTGAACAGAAGCACAAGCTGCCATTTTTCAGTGTTCTTGTTCAAATCCACATGCTAAAATTTCTCTCTGAAGAAAAGGCATCAACGTCTTTCTCAGCCAAAGACATTTGTGATATGAAATGAGGTAATCAGGCAGTAACTAGAAGAATTTAAGTCCTTTTAAGGCAGCTACTGAAGGAAAGTGTCTGAGCAGGGAATAAACCCATTACAGAAATCTATTTTAAGAGCTCAGAAAGTGAACTATACCCCTTGGGTAGATAGATGACTCACTTAGAAAGTAACAGGAGAAATCTACCTTGAAAAAAAAAAAAAAAAAAACCTCTACTTTTCTAAAGCCAGCATCTTTTCCTGGTATATTTCACATCTTTTTAAATGAAATAACATATAGTAATGGTAGTTTACAGAAAAACTCAAATAGTCATTGAACTTAACTACTAAAATAATTCTCAAAGAAACGCATCTTTACATAAAAAAGATACTATTAAGTCTCAGTCACAACAAATCCTCCCTTCCTCCAGCTGACCTGATATTTGGGAATTTGGCTGTAAAAATAAACTTGGTGCTTGCTTTTGAGGAAATGCTGCAGGTGGGAGAGGTTAACTCATTAAGGTCTAGCAGAAGTTTTTTCTTTTAGTCATTTGAACTTATTTCTAGGCTGAAAAACTTGGGATGAAAATACAGAAGTAACTGTTGAATTATATGTAATGACTTTAACAAATCAGCATTCTTTATTTACCACGTGTTCACCTGTAAGAAAGCAAAGCAGAAGGGGATTCTGGAGAATATTCTGAATATTTCTTTTCTAGTATAAGAGTTAGTAAAGGCCTTAAAATAGCTATATCAGGGTCTGAGATTTTTTTTTCCTAATATCTCATCATACAGAGACCATCTTTTGCTGATTTTTTCCTTTATTGTTGGTGTTATTGTGRTATTATATGTATGCAATATTATAAGATCACCCATTCATTTTCCACAACTATATATCTTCACATTAGATATTAGCTTAGTAGTGATATTTACATGCATGTGATTGATAATGCTCTAATTCTGTTTAAACAAACATAATCTTATTTTACAAGGATTCAGAGTATGGTAGCAGTTGTATATTTTGGTTTTGCTTTTTACTTCCCTTTTGTAAGATACATAAATACATAACAGCAAGATCAAACAAACAATAGGTAAGCCTCAGCTAAAAGAGGATACTGCTGATRGTTGGTATTCCTGCTTTCCTACCACTAAATTAGAGGAAAAAAATAAATAAAATAGGAGCAGGGGAGATGGACAGATTGCCTGAACTCACAGTGGACAACACAGGTCTTGGGGGTCTCTTTCCAAAGACCTCTTCCTCTGCTTCCCTTCATGGTTATGGAAAATACCTTTTCAAAAGGTATTTAAACAACTTCAAGTCGTTAATGCTCGTTTCAGAGATCACCTGCACTTGAAACATGAGGATATATATCCTGCTGGCCCAGGTCAATCAGCAGCCATCTTCAGGATTTAGGAAAGCTGGAAGTTTATGTTTTAATTCTGTCCCCAAGAGGTGGCTGTTCCTGAAGTGCAGAAGCTGATCACCACTACCCTGCTGCTGTCTCCATCAGCAACAGAGCTACCTGGCAGCCGAGACCGGGCCTGGGCCACTTCCTACTTCCAATGAGTTTGTTCCCAGCGACTTTGTTTGTGAAGAGCTCCCGTTGCTGGTGGCAAAAGCGTAGTTGTAGTGGCCACAGCAATGATGAGAGCACTCAGTAAATGGATGAAGGGCTTCAGGGGCCCCTCTGAGGCCATCCTGCCTTGCTTACAGCACAACTGGGGGACTCACTGCTGCACACGATGGCCGGCTTTTAGCTCTGTGTTAACATACAGCACCTATAATGCTCTTCTAATGTGCTTAACTCACATCACCTATGGAAACAGGCTCCAGCTGGGCAATGTGAGGAGGCACTGCATGAAACCACTGGTGCTTCTCGTGGCCTGCAAAGGCAGCTCAAAGTCCTCTTTCTTTCCCATTCCACAGAGATTGAAGCAAGGGATACCTTTTAGTTTTATTTATTTTTCCCCTCCTAGCAAGTGTAATTTTGGTTTATGCCAAGAGCCATCACATCCTTGTCGAAAGGAGCCTACTGATGTTCTCTTACCTACAACGGGGGGACACCCCGAGCAGGGTGCTATAAATGCTGTATTTTGGTGCCTACACACTACAGCGATGGGCAGGACCCTTAGAGAGCAGGGTTAACGGTGCTCAGATTATAAATTTATATACATATTTCTCTCAAGTTCGGTGGTTTTGGGAACTTCGACGCTGCCTCGGGGCGGCAGAGCGGCTGCGGGCCCAGGGGAAGGCAACGCCTGACGAAAGGGGAAGCGGCGCCTTCCTCAAGAGCGGCGCGGGCGGCTGCGGTCGCCCATGCGGAGCGGCGCGGCGGGGCGAGGAGACGCGTCCGGCCGCGCTCCCCCCGCAATCACATCGAGGAACCGCTGCGGCTTGGGGGGGGGGGGGAAGAAAAAAGGTTTTTTTTTTTAAGGCTACTGTTGTTATTTTTAAACGATTCCTGTGAGGCGCCAGGACTCCCCCGCGCGGGGAGCCCCCGTGCCCCGCGGGACGGAGGCGGCGACAACCCCACAAAACCCCGAGTAACAAAGGGCCGCGTCCCCTTTAAGCGCCTCCCCCGGCCCCCGCCCCTCCCACGTGGTGCAGGGCAAGGGCGGCGATGCCGCCGCGCGTCACTTCCGCTCTGCTCGTGCTGCAGAGGAGCCGCGCGCCGAGCAGGACGTGAGTGCCGGGGTCCTCCGCGCGCCCCCCGCCCCGGCCTCCGCCATCTTAGCCCCCGTGCCCCTGCCCCCGGGCCGCCCCCCGCGCCGCCGCCGGGACCCTGCTGCGAGCCCCGCTCTTTCTTCGAGTGCCCGCCGCGGGTGGGAGCGCTGCCCCGCCGTGCGAGGGGCCCGGGGCGGGAGGAGGAGCCGCGGCCGAGGCGAAGCTGCCATGTTGGGAGGGGGGCGCGAAGAAAGAGGGCTCGAGGGAGGGAGAAAATGGCGGCGGGGACTCCCCTGCCGCCGGTCCCCCCGCGCTGGGGTCTCCCCTGCCTGGAGGCGACCCCCAGCCCAGTCTTTGTAGCTATCTCTTCTCCATGCCGGCAACCCGCTGCCCTCCCGCTGCCACCCTGCGCCGGGGGGAACGAGGCGTCCTTGTCTGCACCCCCACTCTCCTCTCAGGCCCTCGCCCTTTCCCCCTGGGGGGCAAAGCGAGCCAAGGAGAAGAGAGGAAAGGGGAGGAAAATGGCGCCGGGGATCCGCCTCCCTGGTGTTCGCAGCCCGTCCGAGCCGGCCCTTCTCCTCTCCTTCGTCCTCTGCCTGCCCTCATTACGCCCTCGCAGTCCCCGCTTCTTCCCTGGCTGCTCTCGAGGTCTCCCGCCGTCTCTCCATTCTGCCCTTCCCGCCCCCACTCTCCTCCATGTTCCCTTCTCCCACCCCGAGGCTGCCCCCTGCTCTGTTTCCTGCCCCCCGCCYCCATCTCATGGCATCGCTGGGCTTCCTTTTGTGGTCTTCTGTTCTGGATCCCCTCTGCTTCCATCCTGCAGCATGGCCTGCATCTCCTGCTCCTGCCCTATTTCATTTTCCATGCTGTGACTTTTCTCAGTGTGCTGAAAGCTTTTATGCCAGGACCTGTCCCAGTTTAGTACTGCACCATTATGTCAACCRAGTATTTTTTCTGCATGATATTCCTTTTAGTTTTTGTCTCTTGATGTGTCCCTCTTTACACCTTTCATTGCCTTGCCTAACTGGAGTGTGTTTTACAACAAACYGTTCCTCTTTGCAGCGCTCATTTTTAGAACAAATGACCTATTTGTTTATCCCAATGAGTTTCTAGTAGTAGACAAGATGTTCAACTGCTCTATCTAACCACATGTTTGCATAGTAGAGCAATGTAGAGGCACACCTGGCAGCATGCATTCAAGGAAAGTTGAATATCTACTTGTTTAGCAAATGAATACTCYAGTGTCTAATGTGTAAAGCTGCATTAGAAAAAGTAACTGCAATGCTGTAGTTCATTGTAATCTAAGGCTTTTTTTTTATTTCAGAATTTTGTGTTACTAGTAGTAACTTCTAGTTCATGTAGGATGATTATATAGCAGCTACTTGTAAATCCAAATAAGTAAAATATCAAAAAAGATACAGCTAATAGTGTAGCCCACAATGATTTGAACTCAGTAATTGAGTGAATAAGCTTACAAATTTATTGAGAAATAAAGTTCATTAGTACCAGGCTGAGCTGTACTTTTTCCCAATACTTTCTAGCATCCTAGAGTCCTTAAAGTCTTTCTAAAACAGTTCAAAGATCAAAACTCTGTGTTTAAGGTAGTGCAAAGATATTAAAAAAGGACATGTGGTATCACATCCATAACATGTATTAATGCTTGTATGAAAATGCAAAGCTGAGTCTTTTTAAGGAATTTGAGTAAGAGTGTTTTCCAGCCATTATGAGATGTATTTCTTCTATAATATTCTAATATTAACTGTCTTTTTYCTCCATAGAATGCCTAAGTCAAAGGAACTTGTGTCTTCAAGCTCATCTGCTAGTGACTCAGATAGTGAAGTTGACAAAAAGGTGAACATTACATGTAGTTCATTRCTACTCTACTAGCTGTTTTTTTCTTTTCTTCCAGGCTTGGGGAAAGAAAGTAGATGTATGTTATGTCACAAAATCCACTGAATATGATTTATCAGACTTAACATTAGGGAGGTGGTAGATAAGATACTATTTGCGGTGCAGTGAACTTACCCTTTCCCCCTCCCTTAAGTTTGTGTTTTGACTTCAGGATTTTCTGTGTGGTAATACATAACCCCAAACTTTTTAGAATTCTTGACTTCTTTGTGGCAAGAGATGGAATGATTCTGTATAAACTGCCCCTGGTGGTGAGAATTCAGACTAATTTTGAGGTTGCCCCTTTTTGGTTTCTGGATAACTTGCCAATGTCAAACAAACAAACAAAAAATTTGACCTACCCTGTCAAAGGCCTCTTGCTTATCTTATTTACATGTTCTTTTTCTCTGTTTCAATTTCTTTTGTTTACTGTAATACCATCTGCTAGTTTCCCACTTCCAAGCCAACCAGAATGTCTTTTAAGTTGATTAATTTTAGCGTTTACTGATGACTGTTTTTAAACAAATAAATTGAGTGTTCCTAATTATTTTTAATAGTTATTTACTTTGTGGTTTTGTAGATGTGCTAATCATGAACAACAAAAAAAACCCATTTTGTGTTATATACAAAAAAGAAACCTACTGTTTCTCAGAAGTACTCTGTGGTAGTGCAGTCATCAGATCTTTTATGACATGTGAAGAGGCTCAGTTTGCACGTTTACTGAACTGGTTGAAATGTGATTTAGTTGCACCTATCAAATTACGGTTTATGACAAATCATAATACTTAAAAAGCAGTCAAGTGAAGGTTTTGTTGGCAGATGTATTCCCCGAGTTATAGTGAAACAGTCTTCTTCAGTGGGCAGTATTTTTTTTTTTTTTAATGCTAACTTATGTTTGTTGCAGCTGCACCACCAAATATGTCTCTGGTAAAGGCAGCTAATGTTTCATATCTGTTTATCATTAGTGTTTGAGGAAACAACGTGATTACTAGAAAACCACTAGTAGAAACAGTAACTTCGAGACATCTGTAAAAGAAGTAATCTGATTTCCAGATGATACCATCTGTGCCATTTAAGAACTTTTGTTTATCATGTTATGGTCAGAGATTGGACTGTAATACAAAGAAACTCCTCTGATGGATCCTTTCTTCACTATCTTGTCTACTTTTTTTTTTTCTAGAGGAGTTGTTAGCTGTCCTGTAATGTTTGGTGTACTTGAAAGGTGGCTAAAATTTTCATCAGACTCATTTTTTTTAGTAAAAATAAATAAAAGAATAAAAAAAATCGACAGCATTATGCAAAAAGGGAAGGTTTTTGAAATAATGCTTTGACTCTTAASGAGAGCTAAATTTGGTCAAAAATGCAAAACAGGCAAACTTCAGTGGGAACAATTAGGCTAAAAAAATTAGTTGTTTTCCAAACTCTAATGTAAATGAACAGTATTAGAGGCCTGCCTTGAGGAAGGTGACGGTGTGTATTACATGATAGTAAACCTCTAACTTAAACTTATTTGCGGCWAACAGAATGAATTGTGGTTTATTTTGTTTTATTCTTCCTCCAAGGCAAAGCGGAAAAAGCAAGCAGCTCCAGAAAAGCCTGTAAAGAAACAAAAGACTGGTGAAAGTTCAAAAGGTGCAGCTTCTTCTAAGCAAAGCAGTAACAGAGACGAGAATATGTTTCAGGTAAAACTGTTCTTTTAGAGCTTACTTGAGGTAGCGTGTTACATCCTATTCTTTATAAATCTTTCAGAGGCAGTTGGTATATCTTGATAGCGTGGTGTTTAGTCTCTTGAAGCTTTGGCCAGAGAGGATTACAGGGCTCGCATGTAGATGAGATGCTCAGAAAAAGCAATGTCAGGTTTCAGCAAAGTAAAAGAATCTGAGTTGCAGCAATTGATCTAGCCTCATCTTCACTCATGTAACTTCTTGGTTAGACATTTTGTTTCTAAATACGATACTGATGTATTAAAGAATTAAGTATTGTACCACTGCTGTATTAAGTATTAAATCAGGACAATCTCTACAGGCAAATATAGTTTTAATTAGGCCTCTTGGAAGAAATGCTTGCAGAAATCAAAGTATGGACTTCGCAATTCCTATTTAACTAGGTCAAGGGCAACTCTGCTGTTGTCYTATAAAACATTATCTTGGATTAAGTTTTGCTTGTTTTATGAAGCAGACTTTTTTCTCTGAGAAGGTTGTAGTTTTTAAGCCATCCTTATGTAAGACAAAGAATGGAAGTGTGTATTTCAGTAGCACGATAACGTCTGTGAATTCAGCTTATTGTAGTTCTTGGGACTAGCTGAGGCCACAGCAGTATGTGCTGAGGACTGTGAGGACATGCTGCTCAATTATCAGTTACATCAGGAGTAGTGTTTGGGTGTGTGGGTCAAGAACTATTAGATGTTTGCATCTTGCTGCCTCAAAAGGGCAGGAATAGGAAAGGAACTTAAATTCTTAGTATCTTTGGTTTGTGGAAGGGTATGTGAAAGATGCCTAATCAGTATTACAGCCATACTGTAKTGCAAAATAAATGCTTCAGGGCTGTAGCTGTGGAGATAAATGTGGCAAAAGTTCTTTGAAAAGGGCCTGCTTGGGTGATGTAGTAATACAGGCAATTTGATTTTGGTCTATCAGTGTTCATTTCCCTCCTGATGTCTGCTTTGGAGGGGGGAGCTTCCGTTGAAGACACTGGTTGTTAATGTCTGGAATCCCTTTTCAAGGGAAGGATGCAATAAATTTTGATCTAGCTGCAGCATGCTTGGAAATGTTCAGGGAAAAAGGACTATTTCAGAACTGTAACTGCAGTTCACTTAAAAACTACATGTAGCTTTGTGCTRTGTTATTAATATGTTCCAAAAATCCAGCCTTGATGAAAAGTTAAGATTGTCCTGCTCACTTGTAATGTATTTCAAACTTTGACATAAGATAGTCTCTAAGAACAGTCAATAGACTCCTGTTTAGTCTGATAGGCAAATTCTTCCGGTGTTGAATATAATACAGAAAGTTTTGAGTATCATCTTGACTTCAGCTATTGATGCTCCCTAGTCTACCCTTCAGTTACTCAACAGCAGATTTTTTTAAAATTTGATTATTCTCTTATGTGAAACACTAAGCAATTTTTCATACTCCAGCATGTTACTGTTCAGTAGCATTCAGACATGAGGATGCTCTCCTTCCCTTCAGCAAAGCATGCTGAAAGCTCTAGTTGTGTGTTATTTTTTCCAGTTACAGTTTGTTTTTCTGGGACAATTTATAGCAGCTTCATATTACAGTTAAGTAATACTAGAAAATTGCTTATTTCTGCTTCTGCAGGTAGTAAAATGATCTGTGATATGGAAGTGACTGCTGTACAGATGTGATGTGAATTGAAATCAGGCTTTATATAAAACATTCATAGCTGGTCAGCAGTTCTGACTTCATTATGTGCAACACAGGAAGCAAATTATAAAAAAACTGCTAGTGGCTTAATATGCTGTATTTTCAGGTTTTGTTCTCAAAATTTGTAGATACCCTTAATGGAGAACCCTTCCTGATGTAGTGCTCAAGATTTAAGGTTTATTATTTGTGTCTGAAACTAATGGTGTAATACTATTTCTGGAACTAAATGTAAGGAATAGAGTGAAAATAAGTAATTCAGAATAGGATGCCACATATCTATGCATCTTGGCTAGCCTAGCACAGTTTGAAATTTGATAGTAGGATTAAGATGTAACTGGGGAAGAGGGTGGAAAATAAACCTTGCTCCCATTTGTTAGGTATTACTTGAGGTCCTGGACAAGTATATCTCCTGTGAAAGGATTTAGCATTAGTGTATTAGATTCCTATGTATGGCTTCAAGCCAACATAAGCTCTGCATCGTGTACTTTGGTTAGTTTGACAAACCGTCATCTACCTGTGCCTGATTTGAACAAAGTTTATTAATGATGCCTGGGTACAACATTAATGACTGTTCAGAGAGGAGCTATGTGATATGATTGAGCCTTTGAAAGTTTTTTTTTTGCCTTTCTTTATGGAAGAAAATGATGCCCACTTTTTCGAAAAAATAAGTTCCATTTGCTGTTTGACTTGTGAGAAACTATTTAAGTCTTGCAGCATAATGTGCCTAAGTATCTATCATAGTTGCTGGAAGTGGACAAGCGTATGGGTCTGTGGCACTCAAGTACTGACTGTGAAATGATGAATAGTGCTGACCTGGTGACCGCATTAGTTTCAGAATTAACATGCTTAACCAAATTGATGTAACGCTTGTTTCAACTGTTCACAGGACTTTCTATTCTAGGAGTTTATACTAGCTTAAGTGTTCCTTCAAACTATACGTGTTGTTATCAACTAAGAATAAGCTGCTTTTTTTTGTTTCTACTTCCACAGAGTGTATAGAATTTAAGGCAAACTAGAAATAGGAGGGAAAATTCTGAAGAGGATGCTTGCTTAAACTCACACAGGAAGTCAAATGCATAGCTGTGAAAGGAACCTAGACACAGTTCAGTGAGTTTTATTCTAAGAAGTAGAAACCTGGAAATAATGTTTGTAATGTCCTGTAACTTACTAATTCAGTAGAATAGTGTGCCTTCAAACTGAAGAACTGTGCTATTTAATAAAAATGTGTTAACTTGGCTATGAAGACTGTACAGCAGTAGCTACACTGTTTTAAGTAAAGACATATAACCCTTGGAACACTTCTGTCATTATGGTGTTGCAAAGGTGGCTTACATCAATGAAGATATTCTAGGAACGTCAGCTGCTGTGTGAGGAAAAAGAATGGTTTAGGAAGATTCAGTGCCAAATTTAGAGGCAACTGAACTTTAAGAAACATTGACATAGATCTTTGGTTGTCTTCTAGCCATAGATGTTAATTACAACTAAGAGCCTTAAAATTAGAACTAAGAGCCTTAAAACTGTTTGGCTTAGAGTGCAACTGAACATGTTATATTTAATGTGAGCATTCAGCTCTGATATAGAGGTATAAAGCTAGTCTTTATTTCAGAATTTTCGTATGGAAATAGTTCTAGTTAAGTAAATGTACTGATATAATGTACTGTATGATAAGTAAATAATGTGTTCTATATTCTTAACCCTTGTGTTGCTGTAGTTAAGGTAGGTAGTCTCATTCTTAATGTTCAAGTCCTGAACTGTTTGTGACTGTATTTGCATAGCTAATGTACGTTGTATTTCTTAGAACAAGTATGGAATTCTTTTCTAGATCCCATGGATCAAATGTTCCGGAGGAAYGTATCCCTGGAAATTTTTTTGGGGAGAAACAAAAATCACTGAAGTATAATGCTACAAAAATACAACTGCTTATGCAGGTCATTTAGAATATTCTTTACCAACGATGCTGACAGATTTGGGCATGGTAGTTAAATCTGAAAGAGCTCAGCTACTGTGACCTCATAGCTTATTTTGGGATGTTATGTTTGAAGAACTGTGAAAGTAAATCAAAATAGTCTTAGAAGTAGTAACCTTTTCCTGCTTCCAGGCATATTTAAAATAGAAAAGCATTAATTCAGCCTGATCCACCTAAAAAAATTACTTTAAGCAAACAAAGCATGCTGTTCATTCTGTGAAATAATAGCTTACTAAAACATCTGCATGACTTTAGTTGGAGAGTTTTTCATCATTTCTGTGTAGACTTAATGCTAGTAAAATGTTTGTTCTTCTGTTAAATTATATGAAAGTAGAGGATACATGCATACATTAAACCATTTGAAATCTAAATATGTATATTTCAGGAAGAATTGWTCTCTATTAAAATTGATTTCTTAAGAATATCCTTTTTTCAGAGACGGTATATACAGTGCATAGCTTTACTTAAATGTCTGTGTTTTCATGATTTAATTCACATTAGACTTTCAATTAGTGTGGATTCATTTGATACGAAATTTAAGAACAGGTTCAGTAAGCCTAAAAATGCATTGCCTAGTTATCCCCCTCACCCCCACCAAAAAAAGTGTGTGGTAGGGAGGGCTTGCTAAGCCCGTAGTCCAGGTAAACTCTTGTGCTACAGAAATTAGGAAGTTCAGAAATGTGTTTTAACCAAGACAATATCATTGTATGCTACATGCTGGTAACCTTAAAAGACCATATATATTTGAACATCTACCGCAGCAAGATACTCTTGCATCCACTGTGTCAACAAATATGAGGACTCCTGGGCAAACATGGGACAGCTGATGTCTTCCTTTCACTTTCACAAGTATTTACTAGGCTGGGTGATGGTGTGGAGGGGAATTTCACAAGTATGTTACTCACTTGGACAAGTGTTTATAGGGGAACTCCAGAGACTGTACTTTTCATATGCGAGTATCTAGTTTGATTTCTGTAGATACGGAGTGGGCTGGAGCAGTGATTTGGAAATAAAGCCGTTACTGCTTTCCCTCTGTTTACCCCTGCCAATAGCAAAACATTTTAGAGATTAAATTTTATTCCAGAGAACAGTAAATTAGTACCTATTTATAAGAAACTAGCTTGTTAGGCACAGAATTACTTTCATTCTAGGCCAGCCATTTTTCTAGGAAAGGATGTTGAATTCTGAACAGTTTTTAAATCCTTCACCCATTTGTGTTGTCATTTCTTATTAGCCTACAAACTACTCTGGATTAGGCTCTTGAACTAGTTGTTTCTCTGGTGTCTAAAATAAGCTACAGCCTGCAGTGTCACATGTCCAAGTATAGTACTGTTTGGAAAAGTGAATACTGTACTATGTAAAATACCTAATAGATCTTTACATATGTTTTGACAGATCGGCAAAATGAGGTATGTCAGTGTTCGTGACTTTAAAGGGAAAGTCTTAATTGATATTAGAGAATATTGGATGGATCAAGAAGGTGAAATGAAGCCTGGCAGAAAAGGTATTTTTTGCTTCGTGTTGTTTTATAATGAAGTTTTGTGTGTGGTTTACTGGAGAATCCAGTGTATCACTCTTGCACTTCATAACTGAATTATTAGAGTGTTATCTTCATTTTTTTTCAATGAATCTTGCCTACAGTTTATCAAAAGCAAAACAATTTCRTTAGCCTGAGGCTGTTTTCCAGTTGCCTGCCTTACTGATTGTTTTCTAAATTAATGTTGGTTTAGGGAAATCCATGGTTTGTGGAAAACGAAGCATCAGATATAAACAAATTGATTATGGATAATGCAGACATAGCCATTCCTTTCCTGCAATGAATTTAGCACTTATGTACTTCAAGTTTAAAGATTAATTTCTTAGGGTTAAGAAATAAAGAAATGTTAATTTCTTTGAAGCAACTGCATTCATCAATTTCTGTCCAACTTCAGATTAAAATAATTAAAACATCTAATCATGTGACTAACTTTGAAAAAAAAAAGTTTTAGGGCTTTATTTGAGGCAGAAATAGCTTACGTGTTTGAGGTTTAATACTGTAAACCAATCTATAAGACAGCTTACGCAGTTGTACCCTTAACAGTTTTATTGCATGCTTTTAATGGCATGCCTTCATGATTCCTCACTTGCAAGGTGAGGCTAATAGTTACTGYGGTAGTGCAAATATTAATACCGTGTTACTTTTGTTAGAAAGGTTAGATTTTAGATTTTCTTTATATACCACCACAGAAAAAGGTAAGTGTGGAACACTTTATTCTGGAGTTTGGACACATTTAGTATTAAATCAGCGTAAGTTTTGTTATATCTCCTGGTATATTCAGCAACAACACAATTAAGAACAACGTGGGTAGTAGATGCTTAGAAAACCAGAAGTATTTTCAAAATTAAATCATCGTATATATAGCATCTACAGATACTGTATAGGAAAACTTCTTGTCCTGCATGTGTTGCTGCTATTGGCTCTCTTCTGATCTCAACCATTCTGTAATTTTGTTTCCCCCAAAAAATTACTCTTTGAAGGACTTAATTGCTGTGTTTTGAGGTGATGATCAAAACTACGTGGAGTTTCTTGACTGGGAAACAACCTTAAGACTTGGTGCGTGGGTGAAATGATAGTAAAGTGTAGATGTGACTAAAGATCAATTGAAATTTTTGCTGACTGACAAGAATGTCTTGCCCTAACTAATCGACAGATCAGTAGTAGACTGTGGTCAAAAGCTGCATGATGTAGATGAAGGTATTTATCTGGCAGAAGAGTTTGAATTTTATCATGATAAAATGAAAATCTGATACAGCATGTGAATCAAATGTTCTGTTGATGCACATGTGAGCTACTTGGAAAGAAAATACTGGTTTGGATTGGAGCTTGAGGAATTAGGAATTTGGAACTAAGGAGAAGAGCCATGAGGATGTTTGAGATTTGTGATGAATCTGATTTGGGAAGTAATGCTGGACCATAGGATTCTTCAGCACAGGCCTAACATCACTGCTAGGTGAAGATGACTGTGGGATTAGTTTAGTGACTGAGGGACAGCTGGGAAAAGATCCTGAGGGATTTTGTTGGAAGACTTCCCTGTAATAAGATTAGGAAGCAGAAATTTTTTATGTGAGTGTGGGTCATGTTGAGTGTTAATAGAGGCCTGATGATGTGTATTTTTGGCAAGGGATTAAGCTGTGTGAGGACACTAGGGAAATATCTTCCATTCCTGTGGTCTTGTACTCCTAAGAGACTGAGAATTGGTATTATAGTCTAGGACAGAATTGATGTGCCAGAATTCATCTGTACCTTTGTGTCTTTTGTTGCTTTCTAAGCTCAAGCTTTCCCTGAGCCAGTGGGAAGCGGCAGCTGTTGTATTACAAGGAACCAAAATCCAATCAAAGTTGGAGTGAATACATTAGATGACTTCTGTTGTCTTTGACAAAATTAGAAATAGCCTTTACTGTTAAAATCTAGAGGAAAACAGATGTGCCTTTAGGAAGAAAGGGGAACTGAATATTTTAAGCACTTGGCCTGTTTTTTATGTCAGTCCAAAAGACCCACTAGTTTTGAGGCATGCAGATAAAGTAAATGGTGCTGTGCCGTGAAAGCTCGTCTGCCCTGACTTCAGTAGAAGTCGTACATCTGGGAAAACAAGCAAGGTGTTTGCTGCTGAAATTAGCTGAAAACAAGCAAAGTGTTTGCTGCTGAAATTAGCTGAAACGGATCCATGATGTGACTAAAATGACTGGACAGTCAGGGTGATAACTCTTTTTGGAAATGGTAGGCGAATTGGGGGAAAAAAAACTGTTTGAGTAACATTTATGCAATTTATATTGTATTTGCTGTCTTGAATAAGAGATAAGTGTAAAGAGGAAGGAAGAGCATTCCTTGTCTACCTGAATTTTGCTCAGGGAGGACTAATAAATAAGCATTGAAAAAATTGTTAGTATTTTTAAAGGCACTTTAAAAATATGAAGGCAGGGTCAAGAAATAATTAATAATACTTATAATGTATTTCTGTAGTTCTAGGCTAAGATTTAAGATAGCTAAAGGAAATTAACCACCCTAAATCTAAAAAAAGAAAAACCAAAATGAAAAAAGAACCACACATAGCATCCTAAAACACATATGACTTGTAAGCGACGGAAGTTACTGCAAAGGCTTAGTGCTCTTGGTTATAGCTGATATATTCTTGGGGCATGTTTTAATAAGTTAAGGATTCCATTCCATAAATGGAAGGCAGTTTACAAGAGGATACTTTAACATCAAGACTATGAAAGAAAAACACGGGAGAAGACTTTATATGATTAGCATAACAGCAATTATTTGGGGAGATTAGCCTAATATATGAAAACGACACTGTAACTGTAATTCTTTCTCAGCATTCTAGATGGCTGTTTGACTCGATTTCCAGGCCTGTACACTGAATGTCACTGGAACTTAGGGCCTGTAGTAAAACAGGAGAAAGCAACAAACCAGCTGAAACAAAATAAACTTCCTTGTTGATTTGTGAAGTCTAAGGAGTGGAATAGATCATCTCCAAGACGCTGCTTATAGCATATATTATTTAAAACAGTAAATTAAGAGCAAGAAATGATAACTCCCCACAATTACGGTATTTTGTAAATACATAAAAGCTCAGTCACAAAACAAGCATTAAAGCTAAACTGAATGTTCAAAGTTGGTAATTATGTTACTATGTAATTAAATGAGATAGCTGTTGCGCTTGAAGCAGCTGAAACATTAATAGTTGTGACATTTTTGTGATGGTTTTTGAGCATTAAATCAGTCTTACTATTAAATGTGTAAGATTTTGAACTGTTTTTCTTCTATATTAAGTGTTTTTTTAATGCGTTTCAGGTATTTCTTTAAATCCAGAACAGTGGAACCAGCTGAAGGAACAGATTTCTGATATTGATGATGCAGTAAGAAAACTGTAAAGACAGAGCCATAAAGAAACGTTTATCATTTTAGTTGTTTTAAGCAGTCTTTTTACATTGGCTTTTGTTTTCTAAAATATTGTTTTCAAAGCTATTGTATATTTGGATTGCAAAACAATTTGTAAGATGAATACTTTTTTTATGTGCATTAAAAGTGTATTCTGAGTGAGGCTATTTGTGTATACTTTACTAAAAGGAAAATGTGTTGCTTCCACCTCATGGTGTAAAATAAACAAAACAATAGTATGTAAAGCATAGGTGTTTATGGCCTTTTGTTTGAAGATGCTTGAGAAGGCCACCTGATAATTATAATTTTAGTTTTGGTTTGGTTTAGTTAACCGTTGTATGAATTGGTTTTCTGAGGAGGTTCTTAAAATGTCTCCCTTTTCTTTTTTCTTTTATTTCATGCTCTTTGGTATTTCTCTAGAAGCTGTTTTCTTTAAGGCTTAATGCAAACAGTGAATACCCAGTAAAACATTTTTGTAGATAATTTTAAATACTCTATTTGCTAATTTACCCTATTTATTCAGATGTAAACACTCATGAGCATATAGACTTTTTTGAATTACTTGCATGAAGTATTATGGTAAACAATAACACTTGAACACAAGCCACAGACCATTCCTTCCCGTTTTTTTTATAGCTTGCTTCATTTAGAAAATGCAACCCTTTATTCTTGGACACTAGATTTTAGAAGATGATGGATAAACTTTTGCAGTAATAAATACATACCTCAGAGTAAAACAGAACTTAAAAGCTCCCAATTTGGTGGTTATTTGGGTAACTTTTCCAAGCTTTGCATTCAATTAATTCTTGAACATGTACAGGTTAGCTATTCTATAGGCAAGAACATTTAACCTGCCTTTTTAATGTTTGCATAAACAAAGGTGTTTAAACCAGCTATAACACARTTTAAATAGTTAAACAGGGTTAAAATGGCCAGCTACCACACTCTGCCCTATCATTACTCCCTGCTCAGACCATTTATCTTTGCTTGCTCTGTGTGGCTTACATGTGCATAACTTTATTTTCTCTCTYACACAACATTCAGTGCTCACGGTGGAGCGCTGGTGTGTAGCGGATCATGGTTCTAGCAAACTTCACTTGTGAGTCAGTGAACTGCTCTGGTAAGAAGCTTCTCTTTGATGGAGGCTGCATTAGGTGAAATGCTCTCCCAAATCAAGGGAATTTTGGTAGGCGTTGAGACAAATGAAGAAGGGAAAATACACWGTTTGAGTAGCACTTGGAGAGAGAGGGGAACTCCAGCGCAGAAATTAAAGGTGAAAGATAAGTAGTAGCTGACAATAATTGCAGTGAAGAAACTTGTTAGTAGATGTGAAGAGTTTGTTTTCTGACTTAATTCAATTAATTGAAGGAAGAAAAATCTGCTTCATGAAAAATGACATTTCAAGACCATATAGTGAATGTACAATCTATTGGTTCTACTGTAATTTTCCCATTTGATGTTAAATTTACTGTATTTTTAAAGTTTTGCATAGATATCTGGATTTGCTGTTTGTTAATTTTGGAATACCTGAGTATAATTGTTTATATTGCAGTCATGCATGGAAGTCCTGTTCAGTGTCATACACAGACTGTTCCTGTGATGCAGCGTTTACCATTTAATACAAATATTACATGGTAAGGAAAGGAGACTTRATCAAATTAACAGCCAAACAATTATATTTGTTGGATATCTCCACCTGCTTTAATTTGTCCATTAAGAAATTTCAAATAAAATTTAATTTTGTATGGCTTGGGAATCTGAAGTTCCTAGGACTTATTTGAGAGTGATTAAAATGAGGAGGAGATGTTTTGTGGTAGCAGCTGCATTTTGCACACCTGTTTTTGAGTGACTGACTTGTAGGATATCTGGACCAAATAGAATAAATAGTCTAAAACTTCTGAAATGAATACAAGTGTTTCTTCAGGTCACTATCAACTTGTGTTTGGTCCTTTTATTTCCTATGTGTACATATGAAAAATGATTCCTTTAAATCTGTAATTTTGCCACCAATTTTCACCTATTTTACCTCAGAACTTTCATGTGACTATTTAAAAGTGCATGATTATCATCGAGGGAACGTTGTCCTTGCTTASGTTACTGTGGTAATAGGTCATTGGGTGGCAGTCGTGAATCAGAGTACAATATAATTGTGTTCAGGAAGGTGGGGAGTTAAATTCATTCTTTTGGGGAGAGTAAGTTTTAGTATAGTGATCTGTTGTGGAAACTGATGGTAGAGATGTGCAAAGAAATAAGTATTTGTTAACCAAGAACTATTAGTTCGTCTTAATAGACAAAGGCCTTGCTGAATTTTAGTGGTGATGATGGCTGGAGCTATTTGTCCCATTTGTTTTCCTTGATAATTGATAACATTGGGGGCAATTTGGTTTTACTTAGCTTGTGTGTTTAGAAACAGTTTTTCATCTGCCAGATACATTCCTGCCTGTAATGTTGATAAAATGTCATATATTTTACTTGAACCGGTGTTAATATCTACATGAATGTCAAGAAAAAAGATAACCAAATAAATTAGTTTCCCAATTGAACTTAAAATGGGCCTTAAAAAATGCTGAATTATGAGGGAATTCACTGAACATCAAGTGACTGCCAACTTGCTATAAATTTAACACGTTCAGTGTTGTTTTGATGTAAACAGCTGGTTGTGATTTGTCATACAAGTACTGTCTACGGCTGCATTTTTCTAATTTGAGAAGAAAATTCAGATTTTCTGCATGAAGATTTTCTTAGAAAATACTAGTTAAGATGCGTAAAAAAGTGTCCGTAGAAGAAGACTGCGTATATTAAGAAGTCTGTAAGAAGAGAAAAATGAGAAAAATAACTTTTCCCTTTTTCTGCTGTCATGACTGAAGATAGATGAATTCAATTATTGATATTTATGCGGGGCATATTAGCAGTATGTTTTAGAAGTTAAACAGTATGGAGCGTAGGTTAAAAAAGGCATCTGCCAAAGTCCCATATGTGTGCTAAGTCAAAACGTCACCTACAATGTTGCTCTTCTGTATAGATACCCATATTGAAATTCAACAAATGCAGTGCTCTGATATTTCTGTTAAAGGAGATGCCCCACTTACGTACTACTTATGTGATCTGTTAGCAAAAGAAAATTGGTAATTGTAATTTTGGTAACTCAGATGTCATGTTGTTAACCATGTGGAATGTTGAATGTTTTCTTCTGGTGGCATCTTCTGCAGAGAGGCCACTGGAAATGCAAAACCTCCAACTGTGTAGCTATCTTAATGTTCAAATAAAAATAATGATGTATATCGTGTAAAACCAGTTTGAACACTTGGAAATAAATGTAAACTTCTGTTGGCATAGTGTTATTTTTAATAGAAATGTCTGTGCATTGAGATTGTTGCTAAGTTGTTTATTTCTTGAAAAGCTGCTGTTATTTCTTGGAACTGTTGTAATTTAGATCAAATAAGATTATATTCAAATCCCCAAGTTTGGGGGTGGGATGTGGCGAGGCTGATTATGTAGCCTGGAGGGCTAGAAGCTTTTCTTTGTAGTTATTGTGTAAATGCAGAAGTGGCAGATAACACTACTTCAAACACCAAAAAGCGTGAAAAGTCACCRCTGTTAAAATGCAAGACTAACTTTTCAGTGTGTGGTGGTTTGTTGGTGTCTTTAATCTAGCAAAATAAACAGTAGATTACATGGAGGGGAACGGCTTCTTGTTTGTTTATCATTAGTCGTAGTTAGTGAGGCTTGTTTAGGAAGCATGTTTTTCACATGCTTGCTGTGAAGCAGTCTGTAGCGGGGAAATTATTTATAGCCTTGAGCCATACAGATCTATCTTTAGGTAGGCCTGAGTGGTGTGCCGCTTAAATGGGCATAAAAGTGAAACTAAAGTTTCAAAGTGAAGAAATGTGGTCTAGGTTTGATGAAGGGCGCTTAGATTCACGCATTATATTGTATTAGCTCATATTTACTGTCTTTACCTTGCTGATTAGCTTCAGCTAAAGCTCCAGTGACTGTGTGGAGAAGGAATCTCCAGCTTTTTCTGCTGTGATTTGACCATTTTACCCCCTGCTCTCAACTTAATATTCATATGCCAAGTGTGAAGCCATCTCCTGAAGAACTGAAATGATCCTTGGCCTGCGGATTTTTCCAGAGACCTCAATGCTGCTGTACTGTGAGCAGAGGAGCGTACGAGAGATGCGCGACTTGGGCGGAACTAGCAGGTGAGAAGTTGGTGGTCTCCAAAAGCACGAGTGGTTGCTTGTATGACAACTCATTGAACAGAACTGTTAAGTGATTTTTATAAGATCTGCCTAATTCAGAGTGAAGCATATGTTTTTATTTCCTTTGAGCTTTGAATTGAATGTGTATCCTTTTGATCTTGGGATGGAAAACGAAGGCTCAAGAGCTGAAATTTTGAAAGCATTTTAGTCCTTTGAGTAGGTATCCTAGAAGTGAATAGGTTGCTGTAAAAGTGGAAAAGTTGACAAAAATAATGGGTTATATCCTTGGCAATCTCAACAGGTGCTTGACAACTTAAAGCTAAATAAGAATTATTTTATACTTTGGCAAGCATGCCTCGTAGATCACTGTTGGGTGTCAGTTCCCTTCAGCAGAAGTAATGAGGTGAAAGATGTTGAAGTAAAGAAATAAGGTTGTACATAACATTGTTCCTAATGTTGTTGCATGAAGAATAGCCATCTAAATAGCACTGTCTCATGAATTACAGATTTAAATGTTTAGGCTAATATATGAAAAAAATTCATGCTATCRAAAAATAAAGCTAATTTAAAGATAAGACCTAAGTGTTCTCACCAAAGACTCTCACAGATTGAGGACAATACAAATCATCTGAGATATTAAGAGAACTTGAGAATTAGGTGACCCTAACAAGTAACTTCCTGAAGCAAAAGCTTCCCTGCAACAATAGAACTTTGCAATAGTTCCATGGTGCTGATTGTATATAGTTCTTAAAGCCTTGTACTGCTTTCTCAGTGTGAAATGCCTTTACAGGCTCTCCTCTGGCTTGTTATTTGCCCATAGTTAGCTGAGATCTGACTGAACATTTCCTTTTACAGTTCCCATAGTATTTCTTCTCATGGAAAACTGCTATCTGTTCCTTAATTTAGCTTTTTCGCTTACTGTCATCACAAAGAGTATTTTAACTGCCTGTACCTACCTAAAGAAGTGGAATCAGAGTAGCAGCAATGTGTAATGTCTGTTCCTAGCACAGGTTAATAATCATATGTTAATTTTTAAGTATTGTGACAAAGTATATGCCAGCTGGTTGATTACTCGTGCAATTACAATGCAAATGAAGACCACTCCTTTCTGTGTTCAAAGAAACCTTTAAGCAATATTCATTTACTGCATGCTTGTTTTTGTATATATCCTATTTTGCATGATTTCTGACTTTTCTAAGAGATTTGTCACAATATGTTCCGCAGCCCTGTCTGAATACTGTGGGAGTTAGTCCTTAGTCTGTGTGAGTAACTTTTCAGATAGCTGTGGAGAAAGTTAGTATCTTTTCTGGTACAGCATCTAGCATACTTATTTTTTTCTATCAAGTTGGAGTAACGTGTTGGAAATGTGGATTGTTAAAATGTTTGAGGATGCTCAGTTTTCATAGATAAATTATACAGCTTTTTTCACCACTCTTGCTGTAAATGTTTGTCTTGATACTTTTAATTTTRTATAAAATTAAAGGTTTGTCAAGACTATGAAATTGTAAACTTGATACTTCTTGTTAAAAGTGGAAAGAGGAAAGGGAAATGTGCAGCTAATGAAATAAGATGTTTTATGAACTTTTTCAGGATGCATTCCAGAAAAATATGTTCTAACCTTGATTGAATTCTATAAAGCTGTGTGGTAACTTTAAAGCCATGGGGAAGTGAAGATTATGTCCCTAGTWGAAGGAAGATGCACACTTTTTTTTTGGTGCACCTCTTCCTTTGGGTGGTTGTTTAGCTTTTAAATAAAAGTTGTATATAAGTCTGGAAGAGTGTGATGCATGCTCAGTTTTATCATTTTAGTGATAACTTAACCAGTTCTGTTTTTGCTGGGTGATGTTTTTGCTGTGTGTGCTTCTGTAAGCACCATTTGTTCAGCATGTGGCATGGGGGTTATGGTGCAAGGTTAGGTGATGCTGCTTGTCTGACAAACAGGTCTCTGCTGAGTGCAAGGTGTATGGACGGGTTGCGTAATGAAATGCAACAAAAGAATTCAAGTGGACTTTTATGTGGAAGATGTGCAAGATCCAAATTGAAATCTTGTTCTCATAAAGCTCTTCAACCTGTTTTTTTCTGGGAAAGCCTCAATAGTTGCTTCTTAATGATTATCTTTTATGTAATAAATACCCATGTAAATCTCTTTATGAAATAAGTGGCTCTTGACTGCAAGTTTTTTTGTTGCCAATAACACCTAAGTAAAAATATCAGTAGATTAGTACAGTGTGTGTTCCAACTGTAAATTTGTAAATGTCAAATCTCAATCTTTGTGCTTGGATTTCTTGGATGTTCTAAATTAAAAAGCAAGTTCTTAGAAGAACTGAATCTTCATGTGTTGCTTGTGATAACACTCTCATGGGGTTTGAATGCTGAATGCTTGCTACAGTTCCCATTTCTGAAGGTGTYTCTGAACTTTCTATACTTTTCTGATACTGATACTTTTTTTTTCTGATACTTTCTATACTTTTGGGGAGGAGAGGGTCAACCTCCTTCRTGTTTTTTAGAGGACTGTGTTATGAGAAGAATAAATTCTGAAGTTATTTCAGAGAGAGTATTAGGTTATGGCAAATACAGTTCTGAATACTTGTTTGAAAACATGGTATGTTTTGTACTGTTGGATGCCAAGAGTGCAGAGCCTTTGAGGCAGTTGCAGTATTCAGAAATGAAACATCTGTTCCATAGTTTTCTTTTACTTCTTGACTCATAGAGCTTTGATCAGTGCTTTGACTTTGGGACAGAGATTTTAGACRTTTTTTTAAAATAACAGGAGTTGAAACAGCTGCTAAATGGAAAGCACAGTCTTAGAAAACACCCTCTTACTGTGTGTTACTGATGGGATGAGGTTATTAGAAAGCAGTTGCCTTCAGCCCTCAGGAAAAATGTTCCCATATCAATTTCATCTGATAAAGCAAACGGCCAGTGCTGATTACATTTTGAGTATTTAGACCAATATAATCAGTCTTAATTAAGATATTTAAAATGAGATCAATGTTTGCAGTTGCCTCATTTTTGTTGTTATAACCTGTAAGAAAGCGGACTGCAATGAGACAAAAAGCAGCACAGATCACACAGGCCGTGTGTCATCTCTATTGCCTGGGGACTTGACTATTTCAGATACCATTGAGGATTTGCTGCTGTAAAGTATATGAAAAATTGAGAAATCCTTTGCAAAACTTTTGAAAATAGGTTGCTGTATGTAGACTTTTGTGGGTTGTCTTCTGACAAAATGGGTTATCTGAATCATAATTGTTCTTCAGGTACTAATATGAGGTGGTGTTTTACATGAAGTTTGAATCCATCTGTATACTAAATATGTTTCCATAAATGATAAGCATTCTTGCTATGATTCTACCTTCTCATGTTAGGATCACTACATGTGAATTATCCTTAAAAATATATTTAACCTACTTAGCTTCTTTTACTGCCAGTAATTATGCTTTTAGTGTACTTGAGATATTTGTATCAGCATCCAACAGGTACCAATGAAATCTTTTTGCCTGCTGTTATCACCAGTACTCCTTGGCATCAGGAAGAGCATCCTTCCTCCACTGATGTCTGATCTGAAAGGTAACAACAAAGTGCTGCTACAAGGTCTCTTTGGACCCCTGTCTTAATGGGGAAAAAAGCATGTAAGGACTTCTGTACCAAATATGTGTATCTAGCTCAAAAATTTGCTTTGAGGAACAGTGTATCTCTTCTCATTAGGAAATGACACAACCTTGTTTTGAGGATGAGGAAGGTTGGCATGTGGTAGGGCATCAGGTAGGGCCCAGGATGAGTCTTTAAAATATATAGCTATGTTAGCTTTGAGTCTTAYAGCTCAAACAGCTCAACAGAAGACTCCTTGGCCAGGTAAGGCTGGAGAAGGCCCTGCCTGTTCATCTCTCTTGCCTTGGCCAGGTTTCAGGYTCTTCAGGATATCCCAAAGTCCCATCTACTCCCTCTGGATTGTTCTCTTAGAGCGTGGATCACTTATCCAACACAGCCTTCTGCCCACACAAACCAGTGATGCTCTCGTGGAGAGCCAGCCCTCACGTGTGCCCCGAGGTGGGACCTGTTGGATGAARCTCTCGTAACTGGGCTGGACTTGGTGTCTGGTAAATGTTTGCTCTAGCTTGTCAGWTCTATAATATAGATAATTCTGTACTAGCTGGTACTTCTGGAAACGGCTGGACTCTGTTTGCTCTTAAGTTCCTGTTGGCTGCAGTTGTGACCCCATCATCTTTTAATCATGCTTCCTAATTTCTTTTACCACTTGGTAATTTCCAGGAGTACAATAGGGAAAAGCAGTATTTTCTTCTGTTTTTGTCCATCCTATTTAATTTATAATCTTCATAGAACTACCATCCATTTTCTGTTGTTTCAGTCRTGCACAATGGGGAGTCACAGCCAGAGCTTGTAGCCGTTAAAAGTTAATAAATGTTTATGGATGTGTGCTGCAATAGCTTAAAATAGCAAACTATGATGATGTCTGTGACTGGGCCCAGCCACTAGATGTCAGCATTATTTTAAATATTATAAATTGAAAGAGCCCTTGGCCATCGCTGCTTAAAATGTGCCTGGTAAAATTGAGTTCTGACTGAGTAGTGGGAGGCTCTTGTATGATTAGGCTAAAAGCAAGAAATTGATAGCTTGTTTAGTGGGGGTTTGTTATGCTAAAACAAGAAGTAAGTTTGGTTTACATTACTGGRGTTAATATGAGTCTTGGGAACTCCTACCAAGATACACAGAGTCTTATGTTTGTGAAATTCTTGGTGAAACCCATCTTGCCATGGAGATTTGTCCTAATAACCCCTCATATCTTAGCAT